AGGTAAGTTATTTGAGGCAAGAGTTGACTTTTTGTTCTACGTTTGTACAGCGATAGATCAGAGAGGTCTTGGCCTATAACCAGGACTGCTCGGTGTTACTGTAATACAAATAAATGATAATAATAATTAATAATAATACATACAATTAATAACTTAAGATATCACTGGTAGCTTAACAGGGACGCTGACCAGAGAAACAAGTGGGACATTGACATATGCATCCATGATATGAGAGCAAAGGTATCAGACTGATTAGACAGTCTTTGGGTATGTCTACACTGCCACCCTAGTTTGAACTAGGGTGGCAGTGTAGACATACCCTTTGAGTCCATGTGGGGTTGCTTTAGGAGTAATTGAGGCCGCATGCTTATGGCGCCATCATTCTAGTATTGGAGCACTGGAGAAATCTCCCTGCAGCTTCACTAGCAACCTCTTAGCATGAGACTTCTGTTTGAAGCCAGGACTTGCAAGGATGATATTGTCAAAGAATGTAGCCACTTGGTTCAGTTCTGTTTCATGCCACCCTGGTTCTCTGTCAGTTAATTCCTGGATTCAGAGCAGTTTATTGCCTTCTTAGCCCATCAATCCAGCAGGGGTGTTATGCAAGCTCCGATGAAGCTGAGTCACTCCGATTTTGCTGCCCTGAGAACTTGGGTGTTGAATTTCCTGAGTAAAAGGACAAGAGTTGACTTTGTATTAATGCCAAACTTTAAATGTTTTGACTATAAAACTAAAACACCATTACCTATTCCCCACGGAGCTCCACTCTCCCTCTCTCCTCTCCTTCCCCTCTCCACACTGTAGCCTTTTATATGTCTCAGGCATTAATCCCTCGCTGCTGGGGTGTGTAAATTAAAGAATAATAGAGCTGCAGTGGCATAAGCTCACAATGATGGGGAATGTGTTTGTCTGCTAAGAAGCAATTTCAGCGAAAATTAACTCAATTTCATCTGAAATAGTGAAGACCGGCATAAGCTGGCAGATCCCTGAGGACAGTAAAATTACTTCGTCAAAGCTCTGCTTGCTTAAATTAACCAAGCAAGCACTCCAGGTTATTGGGGAGACGCAGCTAGTAACTAGGTTTTAATGAACAAAAATAGCTTTTTGGATAAATAAGGAAAGTGCAAAGCATGTATTCTGCTGATGTCTGCATCTGTGTGACCTCAGTAGCAAGACCTTCACCTTCCCAGAGCATCCTCTTCCGGGCCCCCGTGGCCAGATGTTCCTTGTTCAAAGACTTCAAAGTGCAGCAGTGAGTCAGGCGAGTGACCCAGCAGAGGACTCTAGACAATTCCTATTTATGTTACCACAGGGACTGACAAATTGAAATTGCTCAGTTTGCGACACCTAGGTACTATAGTGAGAGGGGTTAGCTGGATATAACTCCAATGCTATTATACAATCAGAAAATCAGGCCGTGCTCTATTGAATCACGGGTTATGCAGATTCTTCAGCTGGAATCTTTTGCTCATGATGCATGAGATGGAATAGAAGCCAGATTCCTCTCCTAGAGCTAGGAGGGATCTACTCTGCATATGAAAAGTCAGTAAAGTCAGCAAGTGTGACTCAAGGTCCTGGGAGGAAGACAAGGGGATCAATATGCTCAGAAGGTGCCGTTTTTACATAGGCGCATTATTTGGCCATTACCAGCATTTCAAGGGGCAGTGTCTCTATGGATCTTTGCTGTTGAAGGCCTGGGGTCATTGGGAGGGTTCTGCTGCTGGAATGTGCATGGTGTTTTCTTGTCTTTCCACTTCTCCTTGTTATGAGGGATCCCAGTTCACCTCCCCACCCCTGCAGAGGCCTGATGGTGTTTCTCTTTTATATCTATAAATAAGCAGCAGCAGACATGTGGAATGCGATAGATATATGCACAGATAGCATAAGGACCTTGGGATTTGGCCCATCATTTGGAAGCGGGAATGGAACGGATCTTCACCTATGCTGGTGCTTCCTTGCAAAACCAATCTGCTACAGCCTCTCTTCTCGCTTCCTCCTCCTCAGGAGTGCTGGGCAATTGCTACCAGATGATGAGAACTCAAGAGCTCTGGACAAGAGGCTCTCACATTAGCAGACTGGAAGAACAGATGATTCCTTCCTTTGCAGCCTGTCATTTCAGCCATGGAGGCTAGTGCTATCCAGGTGCCAAAGCTGTTCATTTAGTGCCACAATTGATGCGGCAAGGTATCCAAAGAGCCAAGAGCAGGGATGGGGTGGGATCCATGATTCCTTCTGGTTCTTCCTGACCCCATTTTCCTGATTTTTCCTTTTCTGCTACTGCCATAAATCTCAATATTTGCAAAGAGGGGGAAAGCAGCTGTGTAACAGACTTGTTGAACCATCCACTCATTATAAGGGTGTCACTGGCAAAGAAATACTTTCTCTTGCTGTTGCATATTTATTATGTAGAGATTGCTTGTTAGGACAGTCTGAGGCTGTATTTTGTCTCTGTGCTGGTTTCACATGTCAGGAAAAGACCCTTGGTTAATAAGCCGGTATCTGCTGCTGCAAATTGAAATGGCCTCACAGGGGAGCTGGTTGGCAGCCCTTCCACTCCTAAACAGAAACACGGGGTAATAAATATGGGGCCAGCTACCTGTCAAATCATCTCCCTTCCAGAGGATTCATTGCAGAAATGCCACCCAGTTGTCATTCAAACCAGCAAATGCATTCAGCACAAGAAATAAATTGCAGAGTGGATGGTGGATCATCGGGACCAACATGCCCCACTGAGACCTCCCATCACGGTATTTCTCCATCCCTCACATTTTCTCATCTTCCCCAGGAAGGAATGTCTGTTCAAAAAGCCATCCAAACATCCAGCCACGCAAACTGGCCCCCTGGTCCAGCTACTGGTTGCTTCCTGCATCTGTCTATCCAGTTGTATCTGCTCAGTTCCCTGATAAAATCAAGCTGACTCTGTTGTGAGAACTGCTGAGCCAGACCAGCTGCAGCAGAGTGAACCGGATTCTGTCCTGCTTCACGTATCACTGACAAACCTGCCAGCGGTGTCCTCACTGTGGAGTTTGCTGGGAAGGTGGATGGAGCAGAAAGAAGCATGGGGTGGATCTCCAAGCACAAAGGCAACTTTAAAAAGCTTTAAAATAGACACTAAAAGAGAGCAACCATGCAATAGAGGCCTTTTTGAGAGAATAAAAGAATGTGGGACACTAAGGTTAGACTTCTACATGGCACTCTAGCTAATTCAAAACACAGAAACCTGTTTGCTGTAAACAAAGAGGATTTTGTGATTAAGGGAATGCTTTGGGACCTGGGTTCAAATCCTGGCTCTGCCACAGACTTTCTGTGTGACCTTGGGCAAGTTACTTAATCTCTCATTGTCACAGTCAATGCGAATAATAGTGTTAGCTTTCTCCCACCCTTTGTCTGTCTTGTCTATTTAAGGGGAGATTCTTTTTTGCAGTGTGCTTAAGAAATGTAGGAGCACATGTCCCATTTAAAAATATCTCTCTTTGATTGTTCGTTCTTTCATGCAGGGACTGGCACAATGGGGAACCAATCCTGAATGAAGCCTTTACGTGCTACCACAATACAAATAACAATAAATGCCATATTTACAGCTGCATTTTTATGACCACAGCTACACACACTTTAAAAGCAAATTACTTTGGTACTCTTATTCCAGGAGGGTTAACTGGACACTGGAAAGTCAATCTGTTGTGTACATTGTGGAGTATGTAGCAATAACAATTTCAGTTTCTCTGCCCTGCACCTTTAAATTTTTAACAAATCTTGCCTTTCGTGGGGCAGAGCTGATGCTAACATGCTACCGTGTTCTCTCATTTACTTTTCTTATGTCTTAGCTCGGAGGCCTCTTCATTGCTGCTTCTCCCTTCCTTGTCATCGGGATTCTTGTTATGTTTTACATATTCAAAGCTCAGCCATATGCTTTCAGACTGGATGTCTTATTTTAGATTAAGGGAATCAGCAATACAAGAAAGAACGAAAGTAAAGGTCCCCCAAGAGAGCATGCTGAGTGTGTGTGTCTGCTCTGTAATAGCATACATCCTCTCGGCCCCTGTGGACAGATGGCTGTTTTAGAAATGTAATGATGCAGTACAGAGAAAAATAAAGTTATGGAAGTTACATAGCTACTTTCATTATAAGAATGCATAAGGTATCTCTGCATCTGGCCGTGCTCACTGACTTGGGCTGGAGCTGTGGGGCTATAAAATTGCAGTGTAGACATCTGGAGTCTTCCGTCTGGGAGCCTAATCATCTCCACTGCCTTTTATAGGCCTGTAGCACATTCTCTGTGAGCCTGTCAGTGGACATGGGCCAGCTGTGGATGTTTTATTGCAGTGCAGACA